AAAAATAAGCATTTAATGATATATTTTTTCACAATCAGAATAAGGGTGGAATTAATATAATCGAATGATCCTTCTTGCATAAGCTTCTTGCGTTTAGCACGAGTACAGTCATTTTAGCCTTCATTCCGAGCGAGCTTTAGCGGGATTTCTTCGTAGCAATCCCACTCCATAACGTCTCTTTACCTCACCTCGCACTGACTTGCTTAGAGTTTCATGTTCCGGTTTGGTTGCTTTTGATAGTAAAAACACCTGCATCGACCGCATCTGTTAAAACACCCTTACGTTTAGCGTAGGATAGTGCATTCTTTGCCGCCTTCTTAACATCCGCTACCCAATACGGCCACCTTCTTTCTCTACATCGCTGGCAGAGTCATATACTCCAACCCCTGTCAATGACTTAATAGCTGCTCTTGCGATGATTCCTGCTTGAGGGGCTCCAAACGCTGTCGCAAGAGCTGGTACGGCGGCATCCAGCCCCTTGCTAAGTAGTCCTGAATCTTTTACAAATTTGAATGCTGTCGATAACGCAGATTTGATTTTACTCCAAATGAATCCCACTTAAAGCTTCTTGTAGCCTTTCTTAATCTCATGACGTGTGATATCAAGTCTAACACCACGACCTGCCTTGCGTGCCTTCAGCGCTTCCTCATACGAAGCTGGGGGGAGATGGATAACAGAGCCTGACCCTTGAGTTGGTTTGCTGTAGGACTTAGCTTACCCGTCTTGAGGGCTTTAGTCAGCTTGGGAGCTGGAACGTCGCTGGAAATTGTTAATTCACGACACATGATTGCTATATTCCCTGAAACATATTTAATACAGAATTGACAATTTCATATCTTTCATGTTCTTAATTACATCTGGTCTGTTGTGCTGCTTGGAATATAACCAAAGCGTACAGAAGGGTCCGCAATAGTCGCGGTTAGCTATGTTTGGGGTCGTGTACGGGTAGGGCCTGATAATTGGGTCAGGCGGGTTTCCTGACGGCCTTACCAAACACAGGACCAATTGCTAAGCTACATATTGAAGTGAAAGATACGAAGCTAAGCAGTTGGGTTAGAATGCTTAGACCACGATGGTCTGCGCGGCACGAGGTTGGTCGGCTTCAGTGTCGCCTTCATCGGCATCACTGTCATTGCTCATCACATCTGCGCCCAAATTGGTAGCAGCAGCGTCCTCTTCGCTGCTAGTAGCAGAGACGCTCTCGTTGTCATCATCACTGTCGACATCTACAGCCTCGTCATCTTCTTCACTGCTCGATTCATCTTCTTCTGTAGGAAGATCCTGTTGGAAATGGAACCTGACCCAATAATCAGGCCTGACCTGTATACGACCCCGTTAAAATTCTACCATAGTCGCCATACGTACCATGATATTGTTTGGTATTATATCACCCGACTCCATACTTCGTAGGTGCCGCTTCTCCCATGCTATCAAAATATTCGCCATTGTGAACAGCTGTCCAGTGTCCTACGTCCATATTAGGTTGTCGTAGCATAATCAGATACGATCCATTCTTCGGAAGCGGCTGAGTGATCTCACTTGACTCGACTATATTAGCGAGCTGAACCACCATCCTCTCAGCGTCTTCAATAAGATCGTGATCACTGGTAATTGGCTTGACAAGGCTGTTCATAATAATTAATTTAACAAAACTACATTGATCGAGATATAGATTCAACGATGTCTGAAACACAACTTTCCGACCAATATCTTTACCAGAGCTCGCTGAAGAGTGATCCGGAGATTAAGGCCTCCTCTGGCAAGCGCGTGTCTTTTGTTATCGATATTAACCAAGGTTCGTACAAAAACGATGTTATCGCTATCGACGCTACGTCCCCGCTTAATGGTAGTGAAGGATTTGCCTGCCTCCGCGATGCTTATACTATGCTACCATACAATGTTTCGATGAAGAACACGCACGCTACAAATGTACAGAATGCAGCCAACCGACTTTGTGTTGGTCTCAAGTGTGGCAACGTTAAGTCCTCGATTCGATGTCGCTTGAACTCAATGGTAATACCATTGTCTCGATGGCTGACTACAAGCTGTTTTGGAACAATATCCGTGCTCAGACCGGGTACAACCCTCAGTATGTTGAGAAGCATGGTGCTGAATCGTTTCTATACCCCCGATGCAATCAACCAAGTACAGTAGTGCAACCGCTACTACCGGAGACGGGTATTCGAATAACACAGCAATCTCTACTACCTTCACCGCCGGTACTATTTCTGCTACGGCATCGGTAGCAAATGATGGTTTTACTAAGCGTCTTCTCTATAACCCTTCAAATGTCGGAGCTGACTCATCTACGTCGTGGCCGTCTACTGGTGCTGCATCTGCCACGACTACCATTGCTAATCAACTCGGTCGAGGTGCGTTCGTAGCTGGCGCTGGTTCACCTGGTGCTATTATGGGGACGTGGAACTATATGCTTAAGATTAAGCTGACTGATTTACATCCGATTTTCACGGAGCTTGACTGGATGGCTAAGTCACAAATTCGGCTTTGTTTCCGCGTTAACCAGGGCACTTCAACTATTGATGCTGATGCATCGAGAAATATGACGCTAACGGGAGCAACATTATCGAGTGGTAATGTATGTCCAGTAATGATTGCTTCTGCGACCAGTCCAAACCCAATGTACAATGCTCTTAGTGTCGCTTCCATTGCAGTTTCTTGGGGTGCTAGGGTTAACTCGCTTGAGCCTAAAATTGACGGAACCTACATGCCTTTCACGACTTATCGACTGTATGCTCCTTTCGTTCATTTGGAGAACCCTCGGGCTATCATCGCTAAGCCTGTAAACAAGTTTGATACAACGATTGCTATGCCCAATGGTTCTACCAGCCCGCTGGTATTGATATGCAGTCGACTCAGCTCAATGCTGCATTTAATCTCCAGCTTTCGGCTTCTATTAAAAAACGCTAAGTAAATTACGGAATGTAAAAAAACTACCGGCGTAGTGTTCCATGACCAGGGGTTGGTAGTCTTTTTAAAAATAGTTGTTGTGAGAAATACTACTATTTTCAGTATTTTAGTAATACTCATATGAATACCGGGGTGTACGGTATTCACTATGGGTCGTAGTATTACTCCCTCGGCCCGGTACTATATTTCTTTGCAAGAACTATTTTCCAGGGAGCCCTGATTGAGCAAGGCATCCCTCATTTGGCAATTTTCGAGCTAGTGGCTATCGGTCAGCAATGGGGGCGGTGAGTGACGATCGCAATTCGTGCCATTCGACAAAAACGCAGAACAACCACTTCTTTACCTAACACACCAAGTATGGGGTGCTCGGTGGAGGGCTGCCAGGAAGGCGATACCCTCGTGACAGATCCGTGTAGCGTCTGCGAAAAGCCAAATCACCACATGTGCGCTATTAGGGTCTTTAAAGGCGCTGATTCGGCGCTGAATGAGAGGTATTACGGTTGTTTCCGCCCGATATTTAACGACCTCATACCTACTTGTATTACTTTGCAGGTTTTGTAGTCAAGGGTGTGTTCAAGTTGTGCATTCAACCGCTGCAACACAGGCGCTACTAACGCGGCAATCCACAAACATTTGAGCGGGATCCGACTCCGACTTAATACCCTCGTCCGACCACCTTGCGAACAAGACTGTTGAATGTGCTGTAAAGAGACGCAAAACTGTTGCCGTTGGTGTATAGAAGAAAGCTGCCCCGGTGTGATTGAAGTCAGGACAGAAGAAGATGGCTTCAACGACCGTGTCCAAGACGTCTGCCATCCTCGAGGCCTCGCAGGATACAGAGGCAGCACCACCGACTTCTAAGCTAGGTGTCCCCCTCACGGTGAAGCATTTGAGGAAGTCATGCACCACGGACGATGTTTGGGATCTCATTCACACGCTGGAAACTCCTTACAAGGAGCTGACCCCGTGGAAGCCGTCTGTGGGAGAGTATCATAACATTTGTCTACTGTGCTGCCAAATGATCCAATCCCGAGCCAAAACGAATCGGTTTAGCTGGGAGGAAGCCCTGCGCAAAACGAGGATTGCAAGCAACGCAAAGGATCACATCAAGTCCAAGCACACCGACCCTCCGCTAGCCGTCTTAGCGGAACAGAGTGCAACTGAAAAATCAAAGGCGGGCGTCATGGATGCAGAAGCTGTTTTAGAACTGACTCGGGAACCGGACACCGCGACTATTACTCCAGAGACTACAACGACTACTGGTACGGCTACAACTAGTACTACCATTACGGCTGGTGTGGAACCGGCAGCAACGGCCTAACCACGGTACGTTGGAGCGAGCGAGAAGACTGTCAACATCCTCATCTCAAAGTTTCTCATCACACAGGGGCTACCCTACACAGTATGCGCATCTTTTGCATTCAAGGATGTCATTAGTACTGCAACTGGCAATCATTCGGTTCGCGTGCTGGGTCGCGACCGTCATGACAGACTGCTCAACGGGCAATTCCAGCTGTTCTGCGAGCTTGTGGGTGCACTACTATCCTCGGCGTTTGAAATTGCTTGCAAGCTCAAGTTTCTGAATTTGATGCATGATATTTGGACTAGCTGCGGGAAGGAGAGTATCGTTGGCGTATCAATCGCGTTTATCGATAGTTCGTGACGATTTCGGTTCATCGCACTGCTGGCATGTGTGAAGATCGACGGTCACAACGCTGCCAGCGTTGCAAATGTCAATGAGAGCGGTCTCAAAGCTCGGTACGATCTTAACATTCGAGCGATGACTCGTTTCACCATATCCGACCCGACCCCGTCAGCGAAAAACGTTGTCGACCACATCGACACAGAACAAGAAAGCTGCTCCATGCATCTACTCAATCTGTGTATTGACTACGGTATCGGACTATAGATATTATCCAGACAGTGCCTACTTGGAGCATCTCAACCAGCTCGTGGGACAAAGTAGTAACTACTGTCACGCCCGGAGGCGCTCTGGATGAAGGCGGTGATGCGATCAAAAAGATACGAAACCTGATAACCAATTCAGGTCGCCTAAGCAGCGTGCAGCCCTTAAAATTCCAAGAGGCGCTTTCGTATCCTGAGCTTGAACCCATGACTGACCAAGACGTTCCGGTTGCCTACACGTGCAAGCTGATTCGAAGGTCAGTAGCCAACTACTCAGCATTTGAGGCATACTTCCAGTCAAATAAAGACGTGACGAGCGTGTGGACCCCGCTGACGATCAAAGACTGGATGCTCGCGATTGAAATGGAAGCCGTTACCAATTTCATTGCTGGTCTTGCGTTGATAGAAGCACAGAGCGAGACCTTGGTATCATCGTACATGGTAGTATTCCGTCGCCTCTCAGAGAACAAGCTGAAGGCCTTCAAGTTTGATACGATGCCAATAGAGGCTCCTGGAGCTAAAGATGCAAACGAAGATAGTCACCGTCGTGTGGTTAGGACGCTTGACCAATTTTCGGAGTCCGGCAAGACGTACCTCAAAAGAACGTTACTGCAATTGCAGGCCCGCTTACCCACAGTCACCAAGGAGGCAACGGCTTGCATTTTGCTAGACCCTCGTACGAAATCGAGTGCAAAGAAGATTGCCGCAGTCGGTAACATCTCTCGCAAGGAAAAGAAGGTGATCTACAAAAGAGGTTTGGACTTCGTGCGAGAAGAGCACCGCCAAGTGTACGCGCAGATGATAAACCAGGGAAAATTTATTTGTCGCAACAGTCGTCCCAAAGCTGCCTGCTTAGCCAAGCGTCGAGCTCCCCGTATTCTTCACCTTCGTCGACTGGCTGGGACGACGAAGATGAACTCTTACTCGGTGCCCCCATTCGGGCAAGCAAGACCAGAGAGGAAGTTAAAGAGACGAAAAAAACGCGAGAGCTGACGCTGTGATGAAGGGGTGGCTAAAATTGGAATCAGAGTGGCTAGACATCGCCCAGCGTCAGAACCTGAAATCCCAAAAGAGGACCTGTCGAAGGAGATGTCGATTGACTCTCGCGATGGTATGTACTGGGCATTACTGGGCTTGTACAAGCATATCGACGTTCTCAAGTGGTTCCGCGAAGAAGACGAAGCACAGTTCTCCTCTATAGCTCTCCTTGCGCGGATTCATCTCGGATAAATATCTTCTTCGGCGTTTCAGGAGCGGGTATTCTCTACGGGAGGTATAGTGATGGGCCCCTTAAGGACCAGGACGGAGAGCAGACGAGCTGAAATACAGCTTTTGCTGCGGCACAACAGGGGACGAGCTCTCGAGGCTAAAGGAAGATGCACGCAAGGCGAGAGAGCAGTAAGTAGTAGCTTGAGTAGTATACTAGTATTACTACTACTACTAGCGCTTCGTAAAATCGATACTAGTTTTACTAAGTGTGGGTTTGAAAAGGCCCGACAGTCCCTGTAATACTACTATACACTTTTCTCGGCTACTACTAACCCCTGTCCATGATCCACTACTCGTGGCATCGACGGCTTCGTGTCGCCCTACCCAGCCACTGTCACTAAGGCAGGCTCTGCGTTGATCTTCTGGACTATTGAGGATGAAGATGGAGGCAGTGCCAGTAAACGGAACGCGGAACGGGGGCGCTCCGGAGGATTGCTGCTTTTTTGCGTGAGAAGCCATTTGCAACTGACCTTGGCCCTTTAATATTGGGCTGCAACTGCTTTGCGTGCCAGAAGTATGCACGCGCTACATTCACCACCTGCTCAATGTCCGCGAGATGCTTGAGGACATTTTGTTGTATTTGCACAATCTGCAGCACTATTTTCGCTTCTTTCGCGAGATCCGAACATGTATCAGCACTGATCGCTTTGCCGCTTACCACGCTGAATTCTCCACGAAATATGACGAAAAGGCTTCGACTGCCCCGCCCCTCATTATCCCAGCGACGATAGAAGAACGGAAGCGTAAGGTTTACGCTAAGAAAGAACTGACCAAGGAGAACAAGGTGAAATATACCGCTTCCAAGCACGAAGCGGCAATTCTTTAGCGTCTGCGGCCATAGGTGATGCACCCGAGTAGATGGCGAAGCAGAAGACCGCTAGGTATGTTACCCTACGCAATCGCTAGCACCTGCCGCCGTGAATTTCCACGATAACGATGACTACGAGAATCACCTTTCGGACGAAAACGAGCCAAGAGAAGACGCTACAGCTTCACATAAAGACGAACATTTTTATTTGTACGAAAATAATGGGAAACTATGTGGATATATATGAGTGTACAGCAAAATTACCCCTATCAGCATTGACGAAACTCCAACCGACAACACCTGTATCGATGTTTCCGTCAAGGGTGACGTAACATATCGCATTTTAAAGACTCATCTGTAGTGGCTCAAACAGCATCCCGCCCGGATTGTTGTGCCCACTTCTGGGGGACGTCGCCGTGAAGGACTGCTGCAACGACACGATGCTGAGTTGGATCATTATAGGAATATGTATGGCATCGGTTGCACTACTTGTACGAGAAGTAAGCAAGACAAGACGCCGACCAAAACGCCG